CATAGATATACAAAANAAAAAAAGAAAAAAGAAAAAAGAAAAGAAAGGGAAAAGGAAAATGAAAAAAAAACTTTTTGAATACTATAATTCTTTATATATTTTGACATATTTTTATCTCTTAAATTCTCTAAAAATTTTTCCCGCAATATCATTTCATTTGCATCATATTGAAATTGAAATTGGATAGGAAAGAGTAGAAATTCGATTTTACAATTCACTCATCCTGTTAGTAAACCGGAAATCCATTTCTAATTTGGAAAATCTTCCGAATGAATTTCAATATAGCATTTTGGAAAATATTTTGCAAAACAAATTGATTTTCATACAATTTAACAAAAAAATGAAATGAGAAATAAAATTAAAATTCGAAAAAATTAATATTTAAACAAGAATTAGGATTAAAATTTGATTTCCTCATATAACAATGGATATTTTCTGCTTATTTTATTTGAATATATATATCAAAAATAAAAAAAAAAAAGCAAAAAAAAAAGAAAAAGAGAAAGATAAGAACTTTCGAAAATAAAATAAATAATTTAAAATAAAATAAAAAAAAAATCAAATTGGAAACGAATGTGAGGAACATGTCATTGTAAAATGTTCATCCAATGAAATCCCAAGTGACAAATTTTTGTTTTGAATTTTATTTATATGTACTCTAATTGTAGCCTAAAAAGAGAGAGAGAGAGAGAGAAGAAAAAAAAGTGTTAATACAACTAGTTTGACAAGAGCTTTCCATTTGTTTTACATTTATAATTTCAAAGCAATTCCTTAAATTCATCAAATAGATAAAAGAAAATGAGGCAAAAACTTTTTTTGTTTAATAATTTTTGTAAATTGTAAGAGAGTGAAAAGAAAAAGATGGCAATAAAAAATTACAGTAAAAAATTACAGTTTTCTTTAACTAACGAAACATATAGTATAAAATTAATTCAACCTTGTTAAATTCTTAAAATGAATCGATATTAAAGAAAGGAAAAAAATAAAATTTTATTAAATAATACAACAAAATTTCACAGTATAGGCCATATCTAATGTTGTGATAAATTGAATAACAATAGAATCGATGCTAATTTTTGTATCAGATGAATTGAAAAAAAAAAAATTCTGGTAATGATTTTTGTCTTTTAAATTTGAAATTAAAGTAGAGTTACTTTGACATATCTTTGTGACAATGAATCATTGATACATTATAGCAACATCAAAAAAAATGTTGCTAAGAAAACATTAATCTTTGTATCGTATAATTTATTCGAATTACTGATAAAGGAAATAGGATGAAAATATAAGAGTGATAACGATAATATAAATGATATATCGATAAAAATAGCAATAATAATTAATTAAACCCTAATTGTTAGTGATAAAGGAAATAGGATGAAAATATAAGAGTGATAACGATAATATAAATGATATATCGATAAAAATCAGTATTTTTTTTTTTTTTTGTACTTTTTGAATGGATTAAATGAAATTGTTGTGAAATTTTCACAACTTTTCTTTTCCATAAAAAAAAAAAAAAACGAAGAAAAGAAAAGGAAGAACGAAAAAGATCACTTTATATAGTGTTGATATGAATTTGTAAGAAATTTATTGAAAGTAAAAAAAAAGAAAAAAAAAAGAAACATATAGCAACATTATTACTTATTTTTTTTATTTTTATTTTTTTCTTCCTGGATACGATATTATTAGATGATGGTTAAAAAAGTTGAACTAATTCAAAACTGAACATTATCAATAGTTTATCATTGATGTTATCAACAAATAATTCTGTCATAATCATAAAAAAAAGGAAAAAAAAACATATATTAACATTTTTATTTCGTTACGATTCATCCTTTTTTGCAAACAATTCTGACAAAATTAAATGCATTCTGTATAATTAAATTAAATGGTCAGAAATTATTAAATGACCATAGGTTTATGCTAATCTTTTATGTATGGCATAATTTTAAATATTACAATAATTTAATGCATTATTTGATTTATTTGTTAAAACATTTATGAATACGTTAATTATTTGTTTGTTTGTTTACTTAATGCCTTGTTTGTTTGTTTACTTAATTACAATAATAATTTTGTCATTTATTATTACCAGATCATTTATTTATTTATTTGTTTATTTTCTTTGCTTATTGTTTTACTCATGAAAAAATTTAAACGCATGTAATAATTGAATTTTAAATGTACGAAGAAAATATTATTAATTAAATTTATTTGCCAAATTTATTATAGCATTAATTTGTTTATTATATGTATTACCAGTT